TGAGCTAAATGCTAACATAAACATGCTAACATGCTGATGTTAAACAGGTATAAAGTTCATAATCTTAGGTTAGCATATTAGCATGCTAACATTTGCTAATTAACACTTATGATGAAGTGCAGCCGAGGCTGATGGGAATGTCATTAGTAAATAAATAAATATTTTGTCCTGATGGCGGCACCAGAGGAAAGTCTGAGGACAATAAAGTTGTTAAAATTCACCCTGAGGGCAGTGAATGTCTGAACCACATTTCATAACAGTTCACCAATTAGTTGTTGAGATATTTCACTGAAAACTACAAACATCAACCTCAGGGGATCATTAATATCAGATTCATCCTCTGGGCACCACGAATGTCTGTACAAAATCCATTGTTCAATCCATCCAATAATTGTTGAGATATTTAGTCTGGACCAGTGTAATGGACCGACCAACCACCCGATATATCTAATGTCAGAGCCAGGCTGTGGGCTCCACTAAAATATCAACAATATAAGAATATAATAAAATTAGATATAATTTAATAATTGAATGTAATTCACAGAACAAAGAAGATAAAATCAAAAAGAAAATGGAGATCTTGAAAGAGAAACTATCCTCTTCTCTCCTGATGAAGATGTGTTCACCAAAAACAGATTAAAACATCAAATAATGTGTGAGAGCGCGAAGGGGAGTGTTTCAGAGGACGGAGATACATTACGTGGGTTATAGAGAGGTATAAAAGGTGAACAGGGAGCGTAGATGACATGAGGGGTGAGGGGTGGTGCAAGGTATGGGGTGGAGGGCTGGGGTTTTTTTGTGGTTGGGGGTCCAGCAGATAAGTAGGTGAGGGCATAGTTGTGGTCTGGGCATGCTCAATCCTGTCGGGCGGAGGATGCGGGTACCAGTAGGAGTGAGAGGAGATCAGAGAGCCTGCTGGATGTTATCTCTCTGTCCATACCATGCACCATACCTGCAGGTCGACTCACCTGAGACAGCAGCCAATCACATCCTCCGTCTGTCTGTCTGTTCATTCCTCCACCTTCTGACTTACAGGTTCACTTCACCTACAAATCACTAATGACGGATCAGGTTCTGGTTGCAGCAGGCATCAGTCTGAAGTGACTCATTTTTATCTGACCAATATTATGATTTAGCAGGGTTCATTTTACACAACATAACTCTCACGTCATTTCACAACATAAACAATTTGTTCTGATTTATATCTTAATTCAAATGAAACACGGCAGTAGTGATTCCTGAAAAGTGAAATTCCTTGTATATATACACACAAATAAATCAATTTGATCCTGATTCTACATCCTATAGAAGACA